CGCGCGCGCATGTGTAAATTTCTATGAGAGAATAGTTCCTGAATATGAGGTCTTTTGTTAGAAAATTAACAAGATCTGATTAAATATATAATCACTTTCATTACAGTAAAACTTTGTTTCAAGAGTGAATTAGGAATTTTTGCTGTTCTTGAATTGCTGGGCAAATTGTTAATAATGCTGTTTGTTTTTTGCAGTAGTTCTACTTCTCAACTTTTGCTGTACAGAATTGATTTTTAAAATAACAGCTTTAGTGAGATACTCACATATCATAACGGTTCATCCATTTAAAGTATACAATTTAGTGGTTTTTAGTACATCCACAGAATTGTGCATCCAGTACCAAAATCAATCAATTTTAGAACATGTTCATCGCCCCAGAAAGAAACCTCAGAATCATTAGCAGTTACTCCTACCAATCCCCCAGCCCAAGGAAGTTAAATATTAATCTGCTTTCTGTCTGAACGCCTCTTCTGGAGCTCTCATATAAATAGAATCTTGTAACATGTGGTATTTTGTGACCGGCTCCTTTCACTTAGCATAAAGTTTTCAAGGTTTATCCAAGTTATAGCATGTATCAGTACTTTATTTCTTTTTATTGCCAAAAATAGCCCATTGTGTGGCTATATCACATTTTATTTATACATTCATCATTTGATGGATGTTTGAGTAGAGTAGTTTCTACTCTCTTGACTATTATGAATGATGCTGCAGTGAGCATTTCGTAAAAGTTGTGTGAACATGTGTTTTCATTTCTCCTGGATATATATACCTAAGAGTGAAATTGTTGGGTCATGTGGTGATTCTATGTTTAACCTATAAAATCAGTTGTACAATGTTGAATGTTATCACTACTTGTAGAATTTACTCTGGTTGTTTTGTTTGCACAGTCTGAGTTATGTCATATGGCCTTCACAGTTATTCTATATAATAAATGCTATTCTGTTGTTTATCTGCTGAAGTACTACTGTGTATTGGGTGTTTGTGCAGTTTTGTGATCTCGGTTTTGACCTGGGCCTGACAAAATTCTTTTAGCTAGGTTGGGTTAGAAAATGAGAAATAAGGAGTTCAGTTTTATTATTTTTTTAATTCCATAGAAGTAGTTAATGGAGGTTTAAGGACTGGGACTGACAGTAGAAACTGGGATTGATAGGAGCTTACAGATTTCTGGCTATTAGTATTATACGCTGAAGAAGTGTTGCTGATACCACAGTAGGGTTTTTTCCTTTCTTATTTGTAGTCTTGGGTCATTGTATAAATATCTGCCTTAGAGCATGCTTACTTTATCTCAGGGATCAGGGAAAATTACTGATTAGCACTATTGATTGATGTCATACAAGCACTGCTTGTCCCCAGTTTCTGAAAAGGCATTCATAAAAAGAGATTGCTTCAGTAAAAAATTCAGCAAAATTTTTTTCTGAAGTTTCTAAAATAGATCTTCAGATAGAAAAAGGCTAATCTCATTTTGCAGCCAAAAAATTGTTAATTCTTTATTGTTTCTTTGTTAACTGCTCCCGCACCCATGCTTTTAAATCCCATTGGCAGCTTGTGAGCTTGTTGGAATCTGGTATACAACAAAGGAGGGTACTGCTGACAGTTAGCAAGCAGGATTGGTCCCTAACATGGCTTCAACGGAGATGATTTTAGTCTCTGCTGAGTCACTTTTACTGTCTTGCTTAGGTCCCTTTGTGACCAGTTTTAAACTTTTGTATCCCCCAGTTCTGGATTTAGGGAAAGTCTGTGCCAAAGACTGCGTTTGTTTTCTGGGTCATGATGTTGAACTAATACCATATGCTTCAAAGCAGACTAATTAAGTAAAATTCATACGAATAAAAGACATACCAGTTTTATAATTATAGCTGATACTTATGGAGTGTGTGTCTAGATTGTGACAAGTGATGTATTTTAAGGAGTTAATAGATTTTCTCATTTAATTTCAGATTAAGGAAATAATTTCTGAGCTGAGAGATTATCTAATTTATCTGTAACATATTCCATTTTGAAAATGTAACTGTCAAATGATTTATAATTTGTTTCCCATAGGTGTCTTATGAGCATATATAGGGAAATCTGTTATTTCCCTGGACAGAGAAAATAGTAGAAACTCCTTATTTTATTAACAGGTAAAAGTTATTTTGCCCAAGAAATCTTAAAAGGCATTTTAAGGAAATGTTCAGGCGTTTGTTAAAACCTTTTCTATGAAACTTTTTATTACAATTTTTAAAACTTTTCTCCCCTTTCTTCCAATGTTGTTTTTACATCTAAAAGCTAGTTTGTGTTTTTTAAAACAGTAAAAATATCTGACAACAGTGTCTTTATGGAATTTGCCTAGTGTATATTTTAGTATAAAATTTTGGGTTTGATTCCCAAATTAATGGGAAAATTATATAAGTTACTGTCCTATATATGTTGAATCACATCTTAACTCCCTAAGAATGAAGATATTGTTAGTGAGTAGAGTGCCATAAGAAAATATAAGGATTTTGGACTGAGATACAGGCCATTACTGAATTAAANCTTACTCTAGGCATTAATTTCAATTTGTTGAAGACTCAGAATCTTTGTTCCTTTATGCCTTCAATTTTGCACAGCCTGCTTTGAAAACTATGCTATTTATTGTTTACTGAGTAAAAATGAAATCCCTTTTCCTAACCTAAATTGGTCACATTTTGTATTTTTCTCCTCTTCCCTGACATGATTCAGATGGGGCTGGTTTCTTTCCTGTACTGTTACAAATAGCATTCTCAACGCTGATCCCTGGGATTTTGTTTTATGTTTTTTTTTTCAATTATTGTTTTTAAAAATATCATTTTTTTCTACAAAACAATGTTTGGTTCTATCAAATATCTATTTTGGCAAAGGAATATGTATTACTGCTGAGTTAGACTAGGACGTAAAAAATAAAACTGAGCAAACTTATATTTTTCTCTTGATAGTAATTACCCCAAAGTTTTGAACAGCTGAGCTATTGGAAGAATGGAGCATGTTTTTATACATTTTTTTTTTAAAGATTTTATTGGGGAATTGGGAGCGGGGGACAGAGTTGGGGAATCAGGGAAGGGGAGCAGACAAGTTGCTGTTCTTCGGTTCTTCAGTCTAGTTGTGGAGGACGTCACCTCACTGGCCCATGTTGGTATTATCACTGTGCTC